ACAGACTAGACTAGACTAGACTAGATCGAAACCATGCAGTAGAAAAAGTTGTACAAAACGTAAATGATGAATTTATAGAGCTACACAAAGGGATAGAATGGTATTACGTTGCACGTTCGTTAAAACGACTAAAGTTATGCTGTTAGTAGTACGGATTAAGTTTGCTACGGCTCGAAATTCCCTGTGGGGAGCTCCTATTACCCAGGTGAGTGTCACTTTTGTTTTTCTTTTTTCCTCTTAAAAACAGTGACCGTTTGCTTTTTGTTTTATATATTTTGTGGATCACATATAACAGAATCTATATTATCAGCAAGATAACAACAAAACGTTTCTACGGCATTCTTATTTCATGTTTTCCTTATTAGTCCCCATTCTCTTCAATAATACAATTTAAATAATATTTAAATTGCATTGCTGTATCTCGACGTAACGTCTTCGTATCATCTGAAGTATTATCCAACCCCTTTAATGCATCTGGAAATTTAGTAATGAGTCATAAATGTATTCTGAAGCATTTTCTCCGTCTTGACTTCCCGCGTTGTAACTCTATATCTTTGGTTGTCAGTACCAGTAGACATAGAAACAACATTGGACGCCAACGAAATCTGTCATGTCATTTGGATGCTGCTAATGTGTACGAGAGAACGAATGGCCAAACAGATGCTGTGCCAAAACCGCGTTTTAAGACGCAAGGACACATAAAGGGTATATTTCCGTCGAGATGTTTTTCGTTGATTTGTGCACGGAGAAAAAATATACCATCATAAACAAGAACATTCGATAATGATGGAATTTAGTGTACTTTAAGTGTAATTTATTAAACTTCTAGTTCGATAGGGACACCTAATCGATACTATAATTTTCTTTTCATGTTTTAAGACCTACTTGTCGTGGTTTGATGAACTCTAATTTTATGTTGGTACGAACAAAATATTTCATTGAAATTATTTTTTTTACAAATTTAACATAAGTTTATATTGGTATGAAATACTGTCTAAAAGTGACAGACGCTTACCCCAAAAACACACCTACACTTCATAAGGAAATTTAAAAAAACTGACCTGGCTACCCATCAATACTTTATCAAACAAGCGTTTTCGTCCGCATTTTCACGCAAACGGAAAAATATGGGCTAAACGGTAAACAGAATGGAAATACGATGTAAATAAAAATTTCACAGTTAAAAACGCTCATCGCAAGAGTAAAGTTACTTGCTTAAACTTTTAATAGAAAAATATTTTTATGTGTATTTTTAAAAATGGTGAAATATATTAAATTGGTGTCTGAATTGGCATAATGAAGATCTTATGATATTTTATTCTACAATGTTTCAAAAATAGGTTCAGTTGACATTGCTTAACGGTGAAAGTGTGTGCGAGTGTGTAGTGTTTGTAAGGTTGTGTAAATTTACGGTATTTTTCAAAAAGAAAAGTATAATTCAAGTATTGTATTAAACATGATTCAACAAGTTTTTTTTCCATTTACGAACTCCTCGCACTACACATCACTTTACGTTCTTGCATTCCGAGATATTAAGAATTATTTTAAAACCTTCCTCATTTTAATTCCAAGGAGTTGCTGGTTGCTTTTGGGATGTTGTCTCTCCGCCGAGAAGAAAGTGCAAATTCATAGCAGGTGTTCTCTATTTTAGTTGGGCACGTTTAAAAACTAGATATTGCGTGCGGATAGACCTAACATGTTCTATCGTTTTAAATGAAAAATTAGTTTCGGAAGGTAATAATTTATTCGGAAGGAATCAAACATTCACTTCGGCAATGTCTGTGACTTTCATATCGAAACAAACCTTGACATATGGAAATCTCATAAGAGATAAGGAGCGGGTTGCCAGGGACTTGTCAAATGGCTCCGCTCACTTTCTGAATTTCTTCGATGAGCAGAATACTCACGGTTCCATTGTACCCGCTTCAATCAATTGGTAGGGAAGCAGCTCAACAACCGTGAACGAGAAAGTTGGGTTTAGGTTTGAAAATGTTGAGGTCTTATGTGTCAAGGGCGGAGGACCCTCTGACTCACCTACACTTCCTTTGCAACCATCTTAACTACATCCAGACCAGGAGTAGTAAAAATAAACATAATAAGGCCAAAGGCGCATCGTGCCTGTTACAGCATGTTTGCGTCACAGTGAAAAATAGCTATTTTAATTGTTTTAGTTAGGTGAATGTAATGTACAAATTTGTCCTATTCATAATTCCCCTCGTGAGTCATCGCACCAACATTTTCTTTCATTAACTACAAATTAGATACGATAAAATTATCGGCTGGTTCGGTGTCTCAGAGCGAAGCCGCTCGCCTTTCACCAAGGAGGTCAGAGTTCGATTTGCGTCGATTCCCGGGCAATCTCATGTGAAATTTGTTCCGACAAAACGAGTTTGGCTGCTTCAAAGGGCTAGTCCAACCACTGTCAAGTGTCCTAAACCCTACCACTTTCCTTATTCCGTCCCAATTCTGGCGGCTGGGTAGTGACGCAGGAGTGCTTGAGAGAGAGGCGGGTACGCGGAGATGCTACCTGGCGGTCCTCTTGACAAGTGACGAGACGTGACGGACAATGTTAATGGAGAATTACTCCGATAGCGCGAAGCGTTCAACGTCCGCTCAAGGGGCTTGGAGACGCATTGCGTCTATGTAGACGCAACAAATAAAAAAAAAAAATAGGCGGTGAACGGAGGAACGAGGAGCGTCGACACTGTTGTATTTGGTTACTTAATCGCAGCCGAATAGCCCTCGCCTCCCGCGACGTAGCGCGGAAGGCGACAAACTACGTGTAAACACACGTCAGGCCGATTCGCAACTTGAGCTATTGCCAAGAGATGTCTGATTTTCTCCTGCTGCAGGAAACAACATATCAAACTAAATGAAATGCATTAGGTGTAACTCATATTATAACTATATTAGTTTGAAAAATCGAATTACTTACATTACACTGCGTTGTTAATAATGCATTAATGCGATAATGCGTTGATGGAAGTCGATGGATTTGTTTATGTGCAAAATAGCCAGAACATCTGTTTTTAAAATTTGGGAGAATTTTACTTTATTAGCCTGCTGTGCTCTTGAAATAAACCCAACATCTTGATGTTGCAATGCGTGTGGTTTTATTTACAAATAGATATGTTGTTTAGAGATAGTTTTAAGAAACTATTACTGATTTCGGAATGGGAATATTTTCAAGAAAAATCAACACTCGAAACTCGCAAAATCGCAACTCGAAAGGTGTTAATACAGTGCATTTCTAATAAGAACAAATTCGTTAGATGCCAGGCCCAGCATTTGTGTACCGAACCCCTCTGTACTCAATATTTTGTGAAATAACAATTTCAACTTATAAGGCTTAATCGCCACTGTTTTGAGCTGCTTTTGATTGACGGAGAGGTATCGCTGTGCTCTGCTTCGCGCTCGGGCGAGTGTACCTGGGTCATGCGAAAGCGCTGCCTCTGGCTGCGGTGCACCGCCCACACCAGGAACGAGTTGAAGATGCCCAGCAGGATGAGTGGCAGAATGGTGAATGTGATGGAAGAAAACCAGTAGAAAATGGTCTGATACGTCTCGTCGCTTCCCAGGTCTGAATTTCTAACGGTCAAGCCGGCCTCTTCGGACACCACCTACGGGCAATTTATAATATTAGCGTTTATCTTTACAACATTGTAATGAACTGAAAAATAAAACTTGAAAGAAGGGGAATATTAGCTTTAAACAATCGGATGGCTTCGAATATTTTAATCGTCACATCAATAGAATAAGAAAAACAGTCAAATGTAGAAAATATCTTATTTTTGAAAGATATAAACGAAATATATCATGCTGTTATTTTGCGCTATTTTGCATTTTTAACAATGTATTTATCATGGTACCAACTTCTAGAAGCTGATCTTACAAGTAGGTAATATTTCACATCAGTACTTTAATTGAAGTAAATGAAAGAAATAATTACCGAGCAAAAGAAAACAAGAAAGTATTCCGAAATAAAAAATAAAAAGAAAGGGAGAATGAATATTGAAGAAACCTATAAATGGATGAAATATTTGTTTAATGGATGAAATATATTTTATTAATGAAATAAATTTTACTTATGAATGAAATAAATAAACAATAAATAAATAAATGACGAATGCAGAATGAAAGAATGAATAAAGATGGATGAATGAAAATTGTGTATTGGATGTTTGCAGATTGTACAATGGATGATACATGTAGATTGTATGATACATGATAAATGAAGAATAAATAATAAAGATTGCTTGATGACGATAATGATAATGATGAAGGTGAATGAATAATAAAGAAGCTAGTGATGTTTCAAAAGCCCAAACGTTCTCTCATTACCTCTAACTGGTCTGCTATATTATACTACTACATAAACCTGCAAAAGTGTTTTCAACCTCCAAATATTATTTTTCCGCTTCGAGGCACAAACTCAAATACTCAGAATTAATTTGCCGTCACTCATACCACTACGCCACATGGTTCGAACTCGGGTAGAAGCATACAACCGTAAATAATGACTCCTCGTAAAAATCCTTGAAAAATAAAAAGATACGTTTGAAACTCCCAAAGCCTAGAGATTATTTAGATCAATAGAAGAATATCAATTTTTAAGAAAATCGGCTTGACGGTTTAGGCGCTAGCGTTGACGGGTGGACGGAGGACTGACAGACGTTTTGCCGTCAATTGATTTTTCGGTATCAACGACCCACAAAGCAAGGTTTCTGGCTAGAGCACGAGTTTGAGGATGTTCTATATTTTCCAAATGGATTTACTCGCTTTTTCGAATCCAGGGCCCGGCAATAAGAGCTTTTCTGTCGAAATTTCGCCGTTTTCCGGCTCATGATTACATAACGTTCTCTTCTTATAAAGTACTTCGTAGGGGCGATAAAGTGAAATGTGTGAGGGTCATGTGGATGAATGAAGCGTGCCCGATGACGACGATGTGACGAGCCCGCGTGGGCGCAAGCGCCCTACCTTGTACTCGAAGGGAGTGGTGATGGTGGCGAGGGCGCACGCCACGAAGACGACGGCGATGACGGTGCGCGCGCGGCTCTCCGTGCACAGCACCTTCCCGCGCAGCGGGTGGCACACGGCGATGTAGCGCTCCACCGTGAACGACACCGTCAGCCACACGCTCGAGCTACCTGCAACACGCGACGCGCCGCAGCGCCTGTCACAGCGCCGCCCACGCACGCAGAAAGCGCGTAGCGTTGCCATGCTCGCCGTTTCGATTCCTTAATTTTTTTGCATTCGCGTGCGTCAACTGCTAAGGTGATTATGCCTGTAAGTTTAGTGCATGTTTTTATTGCGCGCTGTAGCGGTGATCGTTCTTTGATCCGGCGCCGACCTACAGGACGGCTTGCGATGTTTACCCCAACCAGGTATCTCCCACCAGTGAGACACCGCCACAAAACAAGTTGTAAGCTCGCGACTGGTCTCCCGGCATGTGTGGTAGTGTAGTGCATGTAAGTGGAAGTGTGTGTCTAAGAATGGGGTTGGAATACGAGAACTAGGAAGGGGAAGGAAAGGTCACGCTCCGTCCATGGCCAGTATGTTTAATTACTCGCCTGGTGTTTCCAGGAGATACCACGGAAAACTACCGATCAGAGTAGCCGGTCGCTAAAATTCTCCTCTAGGCAGCGGCTTAATTCGACCTAGCAACGTGGCTAGAGCCTAAAATCCTGCCATTGTCGTGACTAGAGTCCTAGGACCCCCGTTCAGAGGCACTGCGGTGACATCAGTTGATGCCCTGAGCCACTTACGACGTTCTGCAGTGCGATAATGCAATGTGCTTAAATCAGTAATGGTATTAAATGAAAATAAATATGAGGATAAGTCAATTAGTTTCTGCAATTTCGTTCTAAGGTCTGTAGGTTGACTGTACAACACTATGCACGTACCCACTTACCAGCCTTAAGATGACATCGTTCACCTTGCTTATGGTAAGATTCATCGTTATCATCTGTTCGCTTCAGTTGTTGCGATGTACACTTGAATGCTCAATTTTCCGTTTGCTCAAAAACTAAAAGCTTTCGCATCCTTTTTCTTTTTGGATCAGTGTTTGCACTAAAAGCTGAAGACCTTGGAACACTCTGCACAATATGGATATTTTTCCTTGTCGAATAGTTTACTCGTACCAGTTGTTGAACCACCTGGAACCAAATGCAGTCAAACAAGCATGCCGGATGAGATAAGAGTAAGATGTCTTACTCACTATTGATTCCCACTTTAAGCATATTCCTGCCTCGATTCGTGATTTCGTAACCAATGCGTGATTTCGTAATAGCTGGTTAACTGTTGGTAAAATGACAGTCCGGCGAATTCTTACTGTCGTATTATACTGCAGTTATACTTTATTTTTTCTAAAAACATACTCTAAGAATTTTTTAAAAAAATTGTGAACTTACCTGATACTATATTTTTGTTTCATTTCTAAAATTATCTCTTTAGTTTGTTTCTTTTACACCAAAATTCGATAAATGACAGAATATATTGCTGATATAAATATTGTATGAACATCGCATTTTTCAGAACGTATTGTCTCCTCTCTTTCCTCTCATTTCCATCATATTTGGCTACCTAAATCTGGGGTATACATATACTCCTTACGATCAAATGAACGCCTATCTACTGGTTCCACGAATAACGGAGTGTTAATCGTTTAACAATGCAAAGAATTCGTCATATTCGCTTTCAATCATGATGCAGTGAAAGTAGAGCGCCGCCGCTAGATAACAGGACCGGTTCGCTTAGGGGCAGAATTACTTTTGACTGCAGTGATTGGCCGAGACCTAGAGTTCGCGCCCCAGCGGTGGGGGATAATAGCTACATGGCAAGGAAGAATCCAGTCGCTATCTGGAGTGGCCGGCTGCGCTGACCGGTAGTTTTCCTTGATTTCTCCGATCAATACCAGGTGAATGCTGGAGCAGTAACCTAACAACCGGGCCACGGGCTGCATGAGATGTTTCCTCACAGCGTACTAACATGCACTACTCTACCACAGATGTTGGGAAACTATACTGTGATTTTTCCAACTCTACGCCTGTCAGGTATCAGGTGTTAATGGTTTCATCCAATCGGAAACTTAACGTCACCATAGTGACGTCACTAGTGACGTTTCAGCTCCCGATTGGATGAAACTTTCAACACTTGACACCTGCCAGGGACAGAGTTGGAAAAACCGCTGTGTAATCGGGATCTTAAGAGCTTATCTCCGGTGGAGGAAGATACCTAGAGAGGGAAATCCCCCAGAAGCCGATGTGGATGACATCAGTTGATTTCACCATCCACTGGAGGAGCAATACTGCCACATTCGGGAATAAACCATTTACTACATTAGTGAGACTAATGACCGTAGCAGTTGTCGTGCCACGAAAGGCAATCAAACTCGTTTTAGCCTGAGGGCCAAAAAGTTGCCGTTTTCAGCGCTAGAACAGTTGACGAAAAATTAAAGTTAAAACGTACATTTTCTAGATAAATTATAATTCTAATAAATCATTGTTAAAAAAGGAGAAAACTGAAATAAGCAATATTATTAGTTGTTTTGCGATATCTTTTGCAAAGTCGACATTTCTCGAAATGACAAACTTCAAAATCGATTTCAATAGCCGCCCCCCCCCCCTTAAAACAATAACAAAAACGTGTAGAACAGGCCAGAAAATGTTTTTTTCCTGGGCCTGATAGCAGCGTTTGTACAATAGACCAGCAGTCGCACAGTCAAATATTTGCATTTTCAGTCAGAATCAACGGTTTTAGTCAAGACAACGGTTTTAGTACTATATATATTATACGCGCTCGTTTTCTTGAGTCCTCATTTCACTAAATGCGAAAGAGGTGGGCGGTTTGATTAATTTGCGGACAGAACTATTTGATTACACGTCAAATCGCACAAAGTTAAGGAATATTTGACCTTGATGTCCCAGATTTTTAAACTTATTTTTTCTGTGAAGAGTGTAAGCAAAATATGAAACAAGTATTTTTCATTTTTTCCCAAATATTGTTTTTCGAGATTATATTAATATTCAAAATTTTTGATAAAATAATTGTTTTGCGTAAGTTAATAATTTTGAATTTGTATTGTAATTGTAATTGTAACAGCAATTTAATATTTTGCGACTTTAAAGAACAAAAGATGCTCTTTCATTTGACATGTGTATTGAAATCATTAAATTTTTTAAAAATGACTTTTCGACATTTTTAATTTTTTTAAAAATTCACTGATTAAAAACTTGAAACAAATACCATTGTAATCTCAGAAACGTTCTACATCAGTGTGGTAAGATGCAAATGGGACACCGAGATGAATGTAAGAAATTAAATACAATAGAAATCCCAACTTGCTGTTTTGCTACCACTTCTGCTAGAGCGTAACCCCTCAAATACGTGTTAATCCACAGTAGACGATTACCATCAATATACTTCAACAGAGCAATAAACAGATTTATCACTTCATATCTTACTATGTACCAGATGTGTACATATGACCTTCGTAGTGATTAAATTCAAATGTGTCAAACTGATTCAATTTAGAATTAAACAAACGGAATATTTATACGAATAAGAGTATGTGATCCAATTAATTAAATTGATATTTTCTTACTTCACTTTACAGAGAATAAGGTTAATTAACCTTTCCATAAAGAAATGGAACTGTGTATTTTCTTTGTGCCTTCTGCTGTTTTTTTTTATTATATCATGTTGCAATAGTCCTCTTTGACGAAAGATAGTCGCAATTGCAATAGTCCTCTTTGATGAAAGGCAATGTTCTTCACATTATCCTCAACACACTTAAAAAACTCTGGGTAAATGAATATGTTTCTGTCGGAATTGAAGGCTAGCTTTTATTAAGAATTTTATAGTTCCCCCCTCTCACTTCGGCATAATCCTTTCCATAAACATTGAAAAGTGAAGAAATGCCATTCAGCACTCACAGAAGCTTAGTTCAAGAAGGGTGAACTCAAAAACGTTAATCTTTTCTGTACTAGGGCCATTCTGCACCTGCGAATGCCAGCAAATGGAATGGCTCTATTGAAGGCAAGTTCACCTTTAAACGGTGATTTATTATACTTTCTTGTATTAAGCTCATGTTGAGTTAATATATTTCAATCAGTAGCTCCACTTGTTTTCAAAAATCTGAATCGAAGTTAGTTACACAAATAATAATTTTTAATCTTTTTACATAAATACATTGAAAAACATTATTGTGGGTGACAGGTCCAAACCACTTGATGTTCATGGTACAACTTGAAAAATATGAATTTTGAATGATGGTCATTATTTTATAATCATTATTATTACTATCGGAACTCCATACAGCCTTTAGAGCTAATTATATCGGCAATTCCACCTTTGATGCCAGCAAAAACTAAAAACACATTATATCAAAATGTAACAATATTGCAGTCCATGAATAATGTATTTTGAAGAAATATATTTACTTCCTCTAAGTTTTAATAGTCTTACTTAGAAAAATGTTCTGTTCCTTGATTTGACACTATATAATGAAAGTTAAATAAAAACATTTAAAATTGATTAATAAACAGTGTTCTTATACTTATACTATTGAATGACATGAGACATCTACTTAAGCTAACAGAAGAGTCTGGTTATAGATTAACAATTGCCAGTGTGGTGTAAATGTATGTATGCAGTAAATGTAATTAATTACTGAAAACAGACCAATACAGAATGCAATGTTTGACACAAAATGCAACCAAAGCGAGAACTTCTTTTGAAATGATAATCTAGTCACCGTAAGTTCTTCAATACAGCTCCCAATAAAGTCAAATATAGCTCTCAAGTGATGGACCTTTTCAGTATTTTCACAAACCTATAATATGTTATAATTATGCCAACAACACACATTTTCAGTTGCTGGTTTATTTTGATTGATTTTAAAATTAATGTTTATTCAGAAGATGCACACAATGTAGCAAATGAAAACTGCAAATTGATGCAATGAACAACAAAACTGTAAAACGCTACAAATCCAACCAACTAATCCAAAATGTCACTTCATTTTACAGATCTACAGAAAAACTATCAGCTGAATTAATTAAAAATAAATCCTTACATAAATATCCATTATGATGTGTGTGTATAAGTATCAAATGATTACAGATTAGTTTCATAATTGCTGTCTATAAAGTAGCAAAATAGTACTAAAAGGAAAATATTAGTCACTGGCGTCTTCCTACATTACTTTTCTAGTGAAGTAAAACAGCTTAGGAAAACATTGCCAAACTTCAGAAAACTTTGATAGCATTGGTTGTAGAGCAAATTTCCTTACTGGATATGTTCCTACAGTAAGCTGCTTCACTCAGTAATATCACATACAACCACTATTAGCAATTACAGTTGTTATCTAATAAAATGACTGTTGCTGTCTTGTAAGTGCAATGTTTTATAATGCAAACCATTCTCACAATCAAACCTTTAAAACCATTAAGTCAAATTGAAATAGAATTTTCCATCAAATGAAGTAATTAGAACTGTGGGGCAGGTAATAACCCTACATTGAGATGATTTATGTTGAAATTAAATTCACATGTTAATGCTTAAACCACTTCCAATGTCTGATATCCAGGGTGAGTATGTTACGCCCACCATTATAAAATTCTTGTTAAGAAATAAAATTTACTATTTATTAGACCACTTTCTTAGAAAAATACTTATCATTGTTAAGTGTCGTTATTCTGTTGAAAAACTATTCAATTAAAATTGTTTTGTGGCGTATTTTTGTTATTATAATATTCCGTAGGATTTTATAAGAATCTATTCTAATTTCATGAATTCAAACATTGCCACACACCTGAAAAAAAATAAGTGATAATGTTTGACTTCAGGGAAGAATTGCTACTTTGTTTTTATATATTAATATCTTTCAATGCATTGAAGCTGTGACTTCTACAAGTTGAACATTGCTCTTTTGTTGAAATATAGTGAAATTGATAGTGAAGCATAATAATAATAATAAATAAAAAATCCAATGAATTGTACAAATGCTTGCTTCTTTCATTTTTTCAATTGATGCAATTGGATTAGAAAATAGATACGTTTCATTTGCATTGTATTTACAATGTGGCAAATCCAGTGAAATGTTTTGTTACAAACCATCTCTTGCCTTTTGGCAGGACACAAGAAAATTTTCCTAATTTGTTGTGCATTGTAATAACAAAAACTAGCATGCAATGTATGAATTATCTGTCTCTTAATATGTTTTGCAAGAGTTGCAAATTCCAATCATATTCTCAGCATTTCAATTAAAAAGTGAACTATTGTTTTGACATTAGATTGTGCCTTAGAACCACAGACTTATCAAGAATATTTTTGGCACAGTAACAAAATTAACTGGCCATAAAAAATTGCAATCTATAGTGTCAATAGTATCCACTTGTAATTAGTATACTATAAACAAAATAAGAAGTGAAACCTTAATGTAAAAAAGTGAGTATCCTAGAGGGGATTCTATTTATTAAAACATTGTAACTGACGGATGGAAGGAATGATTGATAAATAAATAAATTCAAAATTATTAATAATTTTTTTTTCAATAAATTGTCACTACTGTACAAAACTTCTCACAAAAATATAACCAAAATGAATAATTACTGGCAAATTATTCAATTCTTATGATTCTAATATGGAGAAAAAATAAAACAAAACATTTAACACATGTCCAAAGATTGAACACATTGCTAAGCTATCTCTAATTTCACCAAGGGAACTACAGACGCTTTACACTGCATAAGGTTGATCATCATCCGGAAATTCGTGGTATTTAATATAGCTTTCTCTATGGGTGAAGTCCTTTTTATCTTCTTGCCAGCCTCTTTCAGGAGCATCATCGTATTTAAACCGAGTCTCTTCTTCACCATATAACTTATTAACTTCCTCGATGTCTTCGCGAAATCTACTTCCAACAACTTTCTTTCCTGTAATTGGATCTGTAATATCCCCAAGAGGATATACTACTCTTAATACTTTGTGTGAAATTAAAGTCGTGAGCTTCTCTGGGAGTTCTTGCACTAGAACTACATCACCGGTCTTGCACACCTTCTGCGGATCATGGGCATATACGTAAGAGTCCTTCCTAAAATACATTAGTAAATTTTTGTCCAATTCCAGTTGTTTCACACGAATTTTGGAAGCATCCTTCTTCACACAAGGCACACATTGTCCCAACAAAATTGCAACTCTACCAGCCCTAGACACCGCCATAACGTACCGCCGCTCGGATGTTCCAGCGAGCTTCGCCCGATATTGCGCGACTGCACGTTCACTTGTTTTCGTCGATCGAGCGAAGCTCGACGAGTGCGCTGAGAGTTGCGCTGTCAATGACATCTACCGTCGTTTCTGTGTACTAGGCAGGCTGGCGGTAGTTCGATAGAGATGTCTCTGGGTGGCGAACGTGGCATATGGTACACCGCAAACTAATGGTTAAAATACAGTATACATCTTGATTTTCTTTTAGTATCCCGTGATCAATTTCTGTTGGAGGTTTTCCTCTGCCTATAATGGTTTTAAAGTGTTTGTTTTGTATAGGTACACATTCTTGCAGTGTTATTTTTTCTCAAAAATAAAGTCGTACTTTCACAATAACTACGTTGTGTGCGGTAGTGGATTGGGGGAAAAAGGGGGCGGGAGAGACAGTGACCTTTTTAGATACCCTACCTACCCCAGTAAAATTATAACACAGGAACAAAGAGGACAAAAGTGGATTTCTGCTTTGAAAAGACAAACGTTAGATGGTTATTTCAAGTAAACAATGGCCGCATAAAGGTTCGTAATAATTCGTTCGTTATAATTCGCAATTCAAACAATTAAACATATAAACATTTTTCGGCCATTTTTAGCTGTTTCACTTGTAAACGTATGTACATTATCCACAATTTTTGCTTCAATACAAACAACTCACGAAGAAAGGACCAATCTCTTACAAAAATAAGTTGTCATCTAGGTCATGTATTTCCTGAACGAGTTGAATGAACACAATATCATATCTAAGAGTCACCAAAATTTGTGGATCTTAAAAGACTATTTGTTTAAAAGCTACGCTCAAAAATGTAGTTCACTAAATCAACTGTTTGCTTCTGACCTCAGGGTTATAGAGTCGTATGTGCTATTTGTATCGTACGAAATGTCATTAAAACTTGTACACAGCATACCTTACCCAGATCGACAGGATCGTGGTAACGAGGGAAGTATGAAAAGACAAGCCGAGTCAAGTTAACATTAGTTAATTAGTAAATTTGAATCAATAAAATTAGGTAAAAAATAAAATTATGTATGTACCATGAGCGTCAACTGGTTTTTAATGATCAAGGACGACAAAAACCCCTCGGACCAACACCCTCGGGCATTTTGAAGTCATAGGCTTCCGCGACCAGAGTCGGCATTGTTCAGGATGTTCCATCCTGTCCAGGATGGTCGAAACGTCGGCAACTCAGCCTTCGACGCGGCGTCACCCGGACAGCCCAGATCACCCTCGGGCATTTTGTTGCCGATCGATAATTTGAATCCGTACAATGCCCCTGGTGAATAAATAACTTTAAAATAATAGGTATAATTGTTACGTATAATATGTAAAAAAATTATAAATATTACGTAATTAAACTATCAAAATAAATACAATTATATTATATCCTTTCTATTGCAAGAATGTTATATTGTAATTGTCAATTACAATAAATTAATTGACAGTCGTACACATTTGTGAACAATAACGAACTATGGTACTATATACGTATTATACAATTGTATCTTTTTATTTCAAGAATATTATAATGTAACTGTGAATTACAATAAATTAGTAATTGACAGTCATACATATGTCTAAATAATAACTAACTGTAGTACTATATATGAAATTTTTATGTAATTAAGCCAAAAAATAAAGGAAAGTAAACAAAAAAAATCAGGCACATCTAGGTTAATAGTTTTACGAACTTTGAAAGGAATGCAGAAATAAGAGACACGAATTTTATTTTTATTTAAGTATTTTAAGGATTTCTTTTTTTGATTACATCTACTTTATGTAGTCTATTTAAATAAATCTTGAAAATACATCGCCAAAAAAGAAGAAAAAACATAGTTCGTCAAATACATTTAAAATACGTATTTCAAATACAAGTATTTAAATTCTGCCCAACCCCGATTGTAAATAACAAATGTGATATGCAAAACAAACATCAGTAATCGCACAATACAGCCAAAAACGGACTAATTCTCTAGGAATCGTTTGCGCGCCCAGCGTAGGTTACTTCCCAACACTTCCCCGCCAAACTTTGACGTCATTCTGGACATCACTATTGGGTCACGCAGTGAGCTGGAGATGATATTTAGTTGGGCTCAAGAGGCCATTCGAGCGTTGTGCGATTGTAATGTGTTGCAATAATCTGGTAAATCCCCCCCACACACACACACACACTAAAAAAAAGTTCAGTTACCATTCATTTCAACTTCTCACGAAACTATTAAGTACCTATTGGTGTTAAAACATCACGAACTTTCTCGCCTGTATTTTCACACAAAATTACGCGGAAGATACTCAAATTTTCGAAATATTGAACATGACCTTATTTCAAAATCTATATTTAAGGAACAGATTTCGTTAACGAAAAAAAATTATATCTTCAATATTTTATTTGTAAGAAGACTGAAAAATTTTGAATTTTTGCATTTTTCAGAAATCAGGGATTTAATCGCCATTTTCTTAAAAATGGCTCCACAGTTTCCACTTAGGACACGGTTTTACTGTTCTTTAATATTATTAATTTAATATTCCGTTCTACTATTAAGAAACCGAAAAATTAAGAAAATGTTTCAAAAATGTTTTTTGTGTGGCGAAGTATGACAGCTGGCAGTATTTGGCAATTTTGTATAGCTAGCCCCTACTAAAGGAAATAGGAAACTAATACGGGAAAGTCTGTGTCATTGTGTAGTACCACAAGTTGATAAATGTGACCATCAGCGGATAGCATCTGACTGTAAGCAAACTGTAATAGAACATCCAAGGTGTTTTCATTTGGAAGGTTAATGCATAATAAATATAACTCACGTTCTTTTCGGAACCTGAATATCTGGTTAGAAGACTTTGGGGCGCATCGTTTCCAAATACGCTTGTAACGAGTATGGCGAAGTAATGCATGTTGGAGTTGCATTGCGTATGCAATTTTTCTGATATAATCTGCAAAGTTCTATGTTTTTTTTCGTTTTTTAGATTAATATTTATTTAGTCAAAAACAGTAAAAACGTATTGGGGAAAAGATCATCTACGCAGGTTTTCGTGAGCTCCAGAATCCCTTCCCATCATTTTATGTGGGAATTAATTGAAAAAAGTGGAATAAAGAATACCTGTTTTTCTAGGCAATGTTCTGAATTGAAATTCTTTGAAAATTCAATTTAAAGTTCTACTTTCTTTGAAATCTTCTATTTTTTCTGAAACATTGTCTAAAAAATGATGTCAAACCTCATTGATTTGAAGGTACTTTTTATATTACCAATCATCATCTGAGATTATCTGTTCACCAGAAACAGGCTTATTGATATAGTTTATTTGATAACATTACGGGCTGAAGAATATAGAAGTTTTCAATAGGTGGTAATGTGATATGAAATATTTAGGTTCCTATTAAACAACAACAATATTAGTAAACAATGGTTTCTTTATTATGTACATTGAGTTGGTGTCAAGCTATTTAGAAGATAATGATATGGAAGTTATTTATAACACAAGGTCAATTTATTGACCCGTCTTGATACGAATGCAGGAATTACGCAATAAAGCTATCTTTTTGTTGGCGTGTATTTTTTTCTTTCGTAGATTATCGGCAAGCCAATGTTACTTAATTTTTTTGAAATGTGTTTTTCTTCAACTACTGTAATATAATGATTTAAAGAATGTTTTTGAGAAGTACGGCAAAATTGATGAACGTCAATTCTTCGAAAAAATAATTATTGATACAAAAAATACATAGGAATAAAATTATTTTTTCCCTCTCTTCTTCTGTAGTTAAAAACCTTCGATTTATATTTCTTTGTGTATTCTAAAAAATGGTAAATTAATGCAAAGAAATGCTAACATTGTAGGGATACGATGCGCACACGTTATAAGTACTATTTCGAAGGGCATGAGTTCACATGGATGACTTGTTCTAATGAGGAAATCTCTAATATGTTAGCGAATATTGTTAGAAGTACAGCTACAACTGCATATTAGCTATCACAAGCGGAAAAAAAGAAGAAAAGAAACAATTTCAGATCGATGTAATGATATTGTATCTTGAGCCGAATTAATTATTTTTCAACTTTTAAAAAGTCATTAGGAATATTCACTTACTCACGAGAATACATAATGTTGCATGAGAAGTTCATGTGAATTGGGAATACTATGCGTCATGAATTTTATTTAGTACATTTGTGAGAAAACAATGTAATCCAATTTCTAATCTAGGCCTTCAAAAGTGAAACTATGTTTACTCGAATGTTTCATTGCCAAGGCTCTTGTCCAAATATATCGTAATCGCTGTTTCAATGATTATCGTATCGCTATCTAAAAATTTATCCTACAATTTATCATAATCACAAAGGAGGTGCGTTCCTCTCCGAACGCTATAGTGCGTTCGATTTCTGTGTTTCTCCTTCTCCCTTTATTCACAACTTAAGTTTTGAAAACCCTAGATACACAAGTACATACCTTACAGAAATATAAATGTTTGTAATATATCTTACCACCAGCCCTAGTAAAAATCTATCCCAACATATTCTGCCAATGCTAAGGCCGAATCGAATTATTCGGTTAATGAAACCCTCTTTGTAGATGGAATCGCGCACCTAGAGTCCCCATTACTTTTTAAATGAAATGTACAGAATGGATCATTTTGGGTGTAAAGAAAACCTAGCATGTTTTGCACAATGAGATTAACAAATGTTTCTGATGCCAGTTTGCCAAATAAAAACAAACAAACGCTTTGATTCTACACAGGAGTTTGCCAACAAAATCTGTTGTTCCATTGCGTTGAGAAGCTTGTTTTATGGTGCGTCCACTCAGTAAACATACTGCTTAGCATCACCGGAGAGAAGATTTTCTTTACGAGCCCTACACACGAACAAGCCACACTCACAAGCTTGTACCGATCGTAAATCTGTCACAGCATTTTTCCTTGTTGTGCGAACAATGAAGCAAGTTGCAGCGGAAACAATTTACAATCGGTGCGAGGCAGTCTCATCCTGTGAATCTTGCCCGTGGATGCCTAGCTTTACTCCGCCACTGATCCTAACGATTTCGTGTTGAACCTGCAGATCGTGCGCTCTAGAAGCGAAGTGCGCCGCCAACGTGCGTC